TTAAACATTTACCTCAAGCAGACACATGCCCTGGAGAGAACAATCATGAGAGAAGTAAGGGCTGCTTATGCACAGGGAGACAGCTCAGGGGGCAGGAGAGTATGGAGGGATGGACACTGGGAAGAGGTTAAATATGGGGAGGAAGTGGGAGGGGAGCTGCTGCATTGTGGTAAACTGTGGTCAATGACATGCGACAATGTATATGTGAACTGCTGTATGGAAAGTGAATTTGCTCTGTAAATCTTCACCCAAATCAAAATTAAATTAAATTTAAAACCACAACTCCTGAGTCAAATCTCACCTTTTGCCCTTCTCCTAATATTTCAACTTTATTGCTTTGAATGGTGAAAACTAGTTTTAGCCCTTACCAGCTGGTCTAGGCAGCTAGGTGTAAATATAAATATAATTAAAGTAATAAAGTGATCCAGTGGTATTCCAGAAATACAAATAATGGTAGCCAAATTTTCAATATTATGCCCAGAAAGAAATGAAAAATGAAATGTGACTCCAAAGCTATTCCAGAACATAGGAACATTTCTTCCAAGCTTCTGTGATCACAATAAGAATATACCTTGCATAATAAATACCTCAAAGAGAATGCTTTTTGAAGTAGAAAAAAAAAAAAAAAAGAATATTATTACTCCTAAAATTTTACTCCGCACCTTTTCACTTAAAGTTAAGTGAAAGTGTTATTTTGAAATTGGAGTATGATTTCAACAGCTGCTGTCTCTGAAGTATAAAAAGTTTAGCTCATAATAATGGCTGTCACCTATTGTGCTAGATGTTGTTAAATGATTATCAACAAGATGTTGTTAGGTGTTAAATGATTAACTCTCTTAATCTACATGGTGTAGCTCCCATCAGTACTTCATTTTGTAACTTAGGAAACTGAGGGTGAGAAGGTCACACAGCTAGGGAGTGGCAAAGCTAGAACTGGAACCCAGGTATCCTGGCTCCAGAGCTCTGCTACTCAGCCTGTCACTGAGTGGTTGGATCTGCCTCACATAGGCCCTCGTGTCGTTGGCACTGGGTGTCCAGCCCCCTCTTCAATTCCAACATCTTAAATGGAGCCAGAGGAAGGGACTGTGGACTCCTTACTTTAGAGTAACTTCTGAGACTTTGTTCTCTAAGACACATTCTCTAAGAGTCATCTCTCAGGATATGCAGGCAAATTTCATCAGAGTTTCCCTTCATTGGCCAAGTTTGCTTGGAAACTAGATTTTTCTCACTTAAATTTTAGCAGAGAATGAAAAGTAGGGGATAAAGAACCAAATAATAGAGTGTAGAATAAACTAGATTTGAAACAGTATTCCATTGTCCAGATTATTTTGAGAAGAGAATCATGTCCTGATAATATCACCAGTGACATATTCAGGAACTTGACTGTCAGCCACTCCCCTAGGTGTTTTTTGCCCTTTCCTAAAAGCTCTGACTGCAATTAAACAGCATCTTCCAAAGAGCAACAATAGGTCATGACATTCGGTTGTGAATAAACTGTAGTGAGGCCCAGTCCCTAAATGATAAAGTGAACAAAAACAAGAGAGACAGATGTGGAAACAATCATTTTCAGCCAGTGCGATATTTTTCATTGCTCTGCAGGAACACAGCAGCTATACTTTGATAGTGGAAGCAAGAGATGGCAGTGGCCAAGTAACAGATAAACCAGTAAAACAAGCTCAAGTTCAGATTCATATTTTGGATGTCAATGACAATATACCTGTAGTGGAAAATGAAATGGTAACTATTATTTTTGTAATAAATGTGCCTATTTTTTGGTGTTTTAGTTATAACTAAAAATATATCACTTAAATTTATATTACATTTATATATATATATATATATATAAATAGTAAAATCATATATTCTTGTTTTGCAGTATGAAGGATCTATTCAAGAAAATCAAGTCAATGTAGAAGTTATGCGCATAAAAGTGTTCGATGCAGATGAAATAGGCTCTGATAATTGGTTAGCAAATTTTACATTTGCATCAGGAAATGAAGGGGGTTATTTCCATATAGAAACTGATACTCTAACTAATGAAGGAATTGTAACCCTTATTAAGGTAAGTACTTAGACTAATAATTGGGAGTGGGAGAAGATGGTTCAGGGGAGGAAACTAATACTGTTTGAGACCAAACACTTTACGAGTGCTTTATATCTGGCACCATAATTGTCTGTGATAGGGGCTGTCCAAGTTCTGTGGTTAGTAAATGGTTACACTACAATTCAAATTTGGGTTTGCTTCGTTCTAAAACTCATACCCTTGCCCCAGCACTACTTCTTCATTTCGATTCATTGAGATGATCCCTTCCATTATAATATATTATGACCACACCTACTGAGGCCATTTCCCTCTGCCCCTCATTCCTTCCTTCTTAGATCAGATCACCTGCATTTGATGGCCCTGAAGCCAACCCCTGATCGGAGGCTCTAATCCCAGCAGGCAGCATGATACCAGCATCATTATTACTTTGCACACTTGTGGTCTTGCTCACAGCCCATTCCTGGATGTAGCACATGCACCTCCTGACCATTGCCTCTGCTGTCTGCCCCGCCCCCTTACTACATCTGCTTAGCTGGTAGAGGCAAATCTCACTAATAACATCTAACAACAAAAGCTGTGATAACTTGATGAAGCTCTCATCTCATTACTTCATACTTAGATGTGCCTAAGAGTCACCTACCAGAGCTATGTGCCACAGATTCCTGGCCCCCACACCTGATTGGGTGGGGCTCAGGAACTTGCTTTTCCCAAAAACTACACATGTGATTCTAATATAAGTAGTTTAAACATCACAGTTTGAATGGTATTCTAACTTCTTGTACTTAATTGAATTAAGGAAAATAAAAATTAAATAGTCTAATTAAGCTTATAGGCTTTATACATTTGTAACTTATAACCCCACATAATTTTTAAAAACAAAAAAGTACAGGAAAGATTTTTATCTAAGAGAACAAATGAGGAAGAATAGCAATGTATCTTTAAATAGCTTATGGTAGAATTGCCTTACCAGATTTTAAAATAAAGTGTAAAGCTACAATTTTCTAAGTAGTATTTTATTAAGTTATAAATGATGACATAAATAAAAGAATATAAAAGAATGACCTTGAAATTTCATAGTAATTACTGTAGGCACCATTTATTGATGAGCTACTATATGTATTTAAACTACCTTTTATAAAAGTAGAAGGAAAATAGAATAACATTACCTCATGTTTATAAGGAGAACTCATTTTATGCTTATTCTAGAAATGGATAATATCATTGGAGACAAAGTTGATCTATCTGCTTATATAGAAATAAGCAAATTTTTAGTCATCGATTATAGATGCAGCCATGATAGGTGCTTGACATACAAAAGTCTTTAACACACACAAGGAGAAGAAATCACATAGTGATGAATGACAGAGGTACAGAATAGAAGTACTCTCAGTGCACCATGGTAGCACAGAAAAGGGATGTAGTCATTTCTACCAAGAGTGGCATGGACAAAATGTAACATAACTAGTATTCAAAGGAAAGCAACAGACTGAGAAAATTACAAACTTACTATCCCAAATATATGAAGAATCTTTCCAAATATAAGGGCAGTAAATCAGATTCCATTAAAAGGCATTTGTCATTGCTTTTGTTAGTTGCCAATGAATTTATTCCAACTTATGGTGACCCCATCTATGCAGAGTAGAACTGCGCCGTAGGGTTTTCATGGCAATGACCTTTTGTAAGGAGATCTCTAGGCCTGTCTTCTGAGGTGCCTCTGGATGCATTCTAACTACCAACCTTTCAGCTTGTAGTTGAACACTTAATCAATTGTACCATTAAGAGACTCCTCAAAGGAATTTACATAACCCAATTTTTAAAAATGGACAAATGATTTTAATAGAAATGCCACCAAAGAAGATATACAAATGGCAAATATGCATATGAATTGATGCTCGTAAGTCATCAGGAAAATGCAAATTAAAACCACAGTCAAATACTACACCTACTGCACACCTACTAACATGGCTACAATTAAAAAGACTGACAGCAGCAGGAACATCAAGCTCAGCTGGCATAGCATGCTATGCAAAAACATTGTCCACATCCTACTTTGGCGAGCAGCACCTGGGACCTTAAAAGCTTCAGAAGCAGCCATCTAGATGCAACAGTGGGTCTCTCATCCAGAACAAAGAAGAATGGAGAAAACCAAAGATGCATGGAAACAATTATTCCAAGTGACTGGTACACCATGTGATCCTCAGCCTATATGACTATGAGACCAGAAGAACTAGATGGTGCCTGGCTACCACTGTCAACTATTCAGAGGGAGATCTAAGTGGGAGACCCTGGATAGAGTGGGAGAATGATGTGGAACAAAACTCAAAATCATTTAAAAAAAAAAAAAAAAGAAGGGACCAGGTTTGCTGGTCTGATAGAGCCTGGTGGAACCCCTGAGACTATGGCCTCTAGCTATCCTTCAGGTCTGGAATTGAACCCATTCCTGTGGCTTCCAGCCAAACAAAAGACAGGCATATAAGCTGAACATTTACATTAGGTAGATACACTCCTTGGGGAGATTAATCATGGGAGAATAGAAGGGCTGTGTATACACAGGGAAACAGCTCGGGGCAGGAGTACATGGGCAGGAAGGACATGGGAAGAGGTGGCTATGGAGAGGAAATGGGAGGAGAACTGTTGCATTGTGGGAGAGTGCAGTCAATGTCATGAGACAAAGTATATGTGAACTGCTGTGTGGAAGATAAATTTGCTCTGTAAACTTTCACCCAAATCACAATAAAATAATAAAAAAAAGAAAGACTAACAACAGCAACTACTGGCAAGAATGCAGAGAAACTGGAAAGCTTATACATTGCTGGTGGAACTATAAAATGGTACAGCTAGTTGGAAGTTTTTGGAAAAGTTAAAAGGAGTAGTTACCCTGTGACCCAACAATTTTACTCCTAGAAATCCACCAAAGAGAAAGATATTACACACAGTGACTTGTATGTTAATGGTCATAGTATCATTATTTATTTTAGCTAAAATCTAGTAACAATCTAAATGTCCATCAGCTAGTCAATAGATAAACAATGGAATACTACTGAGCAATAAAAAGGAATGATCTTATACATGCTACATGGATGAATCTCTAACATTATTCTAGGAGAAAGAAGCCAAACAAAATATTAAATATTGTATGATTCCATGTATATAAAATTTCCAGATAAGGCAAAACTATGGAGGTAGAGAGTGCATCTATAGTTGCCTAAGCTGGGATCTGAGTGGGCATTGATAGCTTGCAGGCATGAGGGAACTTTTGGGGGTGATAGGAGTCTTCTAACACTGGGCTGGGATCATGGTTGCAAAACTATATACATGTATTAAAAATCCTAATGCTTGACACTTATAAAGGGTGAGTTTTATTGTATGTAACTTATACGTCAATAAAACTGTCCAAAAAAATAGAGCAAATGAACAGATATTTTAAAATGTGGAAATAAGAGATAGAAAATTTCATGAAAAATTCATACTTTACTAATATATTAAGTTTAAAATATTTGATGCTATTAATAATTGTTGTGTTGTTGTTGATATATGCTGTCGAGTCACACCCGACTCATAGTGACCCCTCCTTGGGTTTCCCAGGCAGTATCACTACGGAAGTAGATTGCCCAGTCTTCCTTCTGAGGAGTGGCTGGTGGGTTTGAACCGCCAGCCTTCTGGTTAGCAGTCAAGTGCCTTAGGCACTACACTACCAGAGCTCCCGCTATTAATAATAGAAATGACAAAATATTTTGACAGTTGTAGAAAATTAAGATATATGCACTCATATTTTGTTATGCTGAAAATCTTTTCATTCTCTTAGCATTATGGCTGCTTATAACACTGTCAAACCATTTTTTAAGATGACCAGTACCTAACTCAGTTTATTTACGTTGTCTTGGCTTTTCATAGTCCTTGAAATCTAATTACATCTGGCTGGAAGATGTTTCTCATACAGCATATCTAATATCATTGAAATAAGTCCAAGAGCAATTTGACAAGAAAGTAACTTTCACAGAGTTTATGATCACAGTGTATTTTCCTGTGGTTTTCAGTTGTCTTTGTGACATCATTGTAGCCATCCACTTAAAAAAGGGGGCAAGAGAAGTTGTTGTCCATCCAGAACTTCACAAAGTGGAAAATGAAATACATAATAGATAATCCTCCCGAACAAAAAAATAGCAATTTTGCTATAATTCATATTTTTTTTAAAAAAAGCCCACTACCATCAAGTCAATTCTAATAGCAACTGCCAGTGGGTTTCTGAGGCAGTGAATCTTTATGGAAAGAGATTGCTCCATCTTCCTTCCATGGAGTAATTGGTGGGTTTGAACTGCCAACCTTCTGGTAAGCAATCAAATACCTTAGGCACTACACCACCAGAGCTCCTTGTACTTCCCATAAGCTTAGTTAATATATTTAATGTTAGACTAAGGAAAGAAACATAAATGGTCAGGGAATTTTAAAACAAGTATCTGAAACACTACAAATAAGAAGCAACAGGAGCTAAATATGTTTTGGGTCAGTAATTCTTTTAGTAATAAAATAGCTCAACAAAGGAAAAATATTTTTGTAGAAGTTTTCAGACCAGTATTAATTATAGTTAATAATAACTCAAAGCCTAATAATAGAAAAGCTAAGTTAATTATATCTAAATAGTAGAATACAATAGAAATATTTATAAAAAGAAAATGGAAGCATTAGAACCTAAAATATGTATACAAGGATAGACTGGTTATATCAAATCCACATTATAAATAACTATAGTTCACAAAGAACAGAGTATTTGGAGTACTCTGATGGCATAGTGTCTAAGGTATTTGACTGCTAACTGGAAGGCTGGTGGTTTAATCCCACCAGCCACTCCTCAGAAGGAAGATGGGGCAATCTACTTCCATGAAGATACTGCCTTGGAAACCCAAGGAAGGTTCGCTATGAGTTGAATCAACTCAATGCCAGTGAGCTTTTTTTTTTTTTATTAACCTTTTATAGCATTCACAACAACTGTGCTCAAAGGGTGTCAGGGTTCTTGGTTGAAAGAAATTTAAAAATCCCTTTCTTTCCTCTATAAGTTCTCACTTTTTAATATGGTAATATGCAGTCTGAGTCTCCATTAGGGGGATGAGATGGACAATGCTACCAATGCTTATGTAGCCCTTTTCGTATGAATGCACAGAACACATTTGAAGGAATATTAGTTTATACTGAATACTCATAACTCACTTTTTTGCATCAGGGAAAAAAAATCAAAACTGTTAAAGGAAATATACTTTTAACAGGTTTTGACCTTTTAAAGAAGAAATTGGGATGCTTGGCGAACATCCTCAGTGAATATGGAAACTGGTGGAAACATTTTGTTTTCTTAGCTCGCTCTCTGTGAAAGGAGCCCTGTGGCAGCAGTAGTTAAGCTCTCAGCTGCTGACCCAGAGGTCAACAGTATGAACCCACCAGATGCTGTGCAGGAGAAAGATGTGGCAGTCGCTTCCATGAAGATTACAGCCTTAGAAACCACATGGAGCAGTTCTCCTGCGTCCTGCAGAGTCACTATGAATCAGATTCAACATGATGGCAGTGGGTGGATGAATGAAAATGTTGGAATTGTTCTCTCTAACAGTGAAGCCAGATGTGTGTGCACATGTGTTCTGTGGTATTCTAGTTATTTCTGCTTTCAATGAGCTCTCTTTATGTTTGCCTTTCTAGGAAGTAGATTATGAAGAAATGAAGAATCTTGACTTCAGTATTATAGTCACTAATAAAGCGGCTTTCCACAAATCAGTGAAGAATAAATACAAGCCTACATCCATTCCCATTAAAGTAAAGGTGAAAAATGTGCAAGAAGGCATTCATTTCAAAAGCAGCACAATCTCAGCTCACGCCAGTGAGAGCATGGATCGATCAAGCAGAGGCAGGATCATTGGAAAATTTCACGTTTTTGATGAAGACACTGGACAGCCAGCCCGTGTAAAGTAAGGGATAGCTTTGAATATATTTCCTCATTTTAAATTATTTTAAATGCCTGTTTTCAAAAACCATAATGAAATATGAACATTTCATTCCCCATACTCCAGCATTATAATTCCCCAAAGCTCTGTAGGTTAAACTTTCCCAAAGTTGTACCTGTAAACTGGGAGGCAAGGAAGAATTTTGACCTGACCCCTCTTCCCTCATCCAACTATATGTTAGGATGAGGCAGGGTTGCTAACCTCAGAAACAATTCCAGTTAGAGAAGACGAAAAAGCAACAAACTAAAAGTTCAGAAAGAAACTTCCTAACGTATCTTATTTCCTTAAAGAGTAGAGGAATTCAAGAAAGTGGCTTATAAAGTCTACACCAAATTCTACTTTATACAGATTTTGTTAGGAGAAATAATTGCATAAGGTACTTTAATATGGGAAATCCAGTTTAATTTGCCCATATATCATGAGTATGTTTATTTAAAACTTATTTTTATTTTAGAGACTGTTGAACCTTTTTTAAGAGCTCTGGAGGCGTATTGCCCAAGGCATTTGACTGCTAACCAGAAGGCTGGTGGTTCAAACATACGAGGCACTCCTCAGAAGGAAGATTGGTCAATCTACTTCTGTAGTGATAGTGCCTCAGAAACCCAAGGAGGGTCTCTATGAGTCAGATCTGACTCCACAGCAGTGAGTTTGGTTTGGTTTGAACCTTTTATAGTGTTTGTCTTGATCATGGTGATCTTATTTAAAATATATTTCATAAGAATCTACTATTTCCACCAGTGTGCTAGAAAGGAGGTCACTGGTGTCACAAATGCTTTGTACTTGACTTCTAACAGAGAGGTTGGCATTTTGAAACCACTCAGCAGAACCTCAGAAGAAAGGCCTGGCAATCTACTTCTGTAAGATTACAGCCACTGAAAACATTTTGAGAGTGTGCTTCTACTCTGACACACATGAGGCACCATGAGTTGGAATCAAGTTGGTGGCAGCTGTTTTGATTTTGGTGGTGGAACCACAGACTAATCTGCACACAGCCATTTTGGTGGTGGAAACCACAGGCCAACCTCCACACAGCCATTTTGATGCAAATAATCTACACTGACACCTTAGATCGCATGATTCTTTTACATTTTCAAAGAAAATTTACTTCCTAGATCTGAGAGCTTGCCAAGGAGAGACTACTCCCTGCAAAGCTCTAGTTACATTGTTTCACTTTGCAGAATCACCTGTGTATCCTGGAGAATCACCACCTGCCGCCCCACGGACACAACTTGTTTCTTCCTGCACCAACAGGTGTCAGACCTGTTTGGTTGCTTGGCTGGCCTTGTGTCCAGGTCCCTCTATGCCAGTGCGCCATCAAACGCTGTATTTAAATCCCTAGCTGCTTGTAGTAAGAATGGGAATGTGGAGGAAGCTCTTCAACAATCTCTTGTTTTAGTGAATTTCTTTTTAATGGAATTCAGCAGCCAATAGCAACAAATAACTTTTTCAAAATAATATTAGGAGACAGTTTGCATTGTATTTTCCAAGTGTCTTAGTGACCCTTACTTGCCTTCCCTACCTACTGGAGCCAGCCTTATTATCTCTTTGAGTTCTGTGGTCTAGTTTTTATTTCCATGGCTCTATACCTAAAGGACTACTCCCTAGAGAAGGGTATCATGCTGAGTAAAGTAAAGGGTTAGTGAAAAAAGGGAAGACCCTCAATGAAATGGATTGACATAGTAGCTGCAATGATGGGCTCAAGCATAGCAAAGACTATGAGAATGGCACAGGATCGGGCAGTGTTCTGTTCTGTTTTACACAGAGTCGCTATGAGTGGGAGCCAACTTGACAGCACCTAACAACAACATACCTAACAGAGTCTGTGGGTGGTATAAACACGTGCAACTAAAACGAGAGGTTGATGTTTCAAGTCCACCTAGAGGCACTTTGGAAAAAACACCTGCTGATCTACTTCCGAAAAATCAGCCATTGAAAACTCATGGAGCACAGTGCTACTCTGACACGCGTGAGGTTGCCATGAATCAGAGTCAACTACACAGCAACCAGTTATACCCAACAAGGCAAGCCCCAAGTGAATGCCCAGAACTGAGGATGAACTTTCCATATGATCATGTCTTACTGAGATAAATGACGTGTTCTGATTAGCTATCCATCAGTAATACTGTGATTGGCTATTGAAATGTCTGTTTCACACCTAATTATTTAATTTTTGGCTGCTATTTTTATTAGGGCCTGTGAATACATCAGAAAGCTATATGTCCTCACATAGGCCAATGGAACAGAATTGAAAACCCAGAAATAGATCCATCTAACTATGGGCAGTTGATCTTTGACAAAAGACCAAAACCCATTAAATGGGGAAGAGATAGTCTGTTTAACAAATGGTGCAGACAAAACTGGATATCCATTTGCAGAAAAATGAAGCAAGAGCCATACTTCACACCATACACAAAAACAAACTCAAAATGGATCAAAGACCTAAATGTAAAACCCAAAAATATAAAGTTCATCAAAGATAAAATAGGGGCAAACTAAGGGGTCCTAATTTATGGCATAAATAGACTATCAAGCATGACCCAAAATGCACAAACAGCAGAAGATAAACTATATGACTGGGCCCTTCTAAAAATTAAATTCTTATGTGGGAGCTCTGGTAGCATAGTGGCTAAGACACTTGCCTGCTAACCAGATGGCTGGCGGTTCAAACCCACCAGCCACTCCTCGGAAGGAAGGTTGGGCAATCCTACTTCCGTAGTGATACTGCCTCGGAAACCCAAGGAGGGGTCGCTATGAGTTAGATTTGACTCGACGGCACATAACAACAACAACAACAGCAACATGTGCATCAAAGGTCTGCCCCAAAATATTTGGCAGCAACGTATCTGACAATAGTCTTCTGCATAAAATTTGTAGAAAACTTCAACCCTCAACATCAAAAAGACAAACAATCCAGTCAAAAATGGGCAGAGGACATGAGCAGATACTTCACCAGAGAAGATACTCAGGCAGCCAACAACCCAAACACACGAAGAAATGCTCATTATCATTAGCCATTAGAGAGATGCAAATCAAAACAACAATGAGATATCATCTCACCTCAGCAATAACAGCAAAATTCGACAAGACAGAAAACAACAAATACTGGAGAGGAAGTGGAGAGATTGGAACTCTCAAACACTGCTGGTGGGACTGTAAAATGGTGCAACCACTGTGGAAAATAGTATAATGATTACTTAAAAAAATGGAAACAGAAATATCATTTGATCCAGCAATTCCACTACTAGGAATATATCCTAAAGAGGTGAGATCAAGGACATGAATAGCTATATGCATACTCATGCTCGTTGTAGCACTATTCATAGTAGCAAAGAGATGGAAACAACCTAAGTGCCCAGCAGATGAATGGATATGGTACATACACAGAATGGAATACTATGAAACATTTAAGAAAATGAAAATTCCACCAATCACCTCAGAATGTGGATGAACTTGGAGGACATTATGCTGCATGAAATAGGTCAATCACAGAAAGACAAATATTGTATGAGTCTGCTATTATAAAAATTCAAGGCAAGGTTTACACAAGGAAGAAAAATATCTTTGTAATTTACAAACACCCATAGAAGCAGCAGTTAAGAAATAAGCTGTATTGCACTGGGAAAATCTGCTGCAAAAGACCTCTTTAAGTGTTAAAGACCAAAGATGTCACATTGAACACTAAGGTTCTCCTAGCCCACACCATGGTATTTTCAATCGCCTCATATGCATGTTGTTGGACAGTTGAACAGTGAATAAGTAAGACCGAAGAAGAATTGATGCCTTTAACTTGTGATGTTGGCAAAGAATGTTGAAAATACCATGGACTGCCAGAAGAAATTAATAAATCTGTCTTGGACGAAGTGCAGCCAAAATGTTCCTTGGAAGTAAGAATGGCCAGAATTCGTCTCACATACTTTGGTCATGTCAGAAGGAGGCGGTCCCTGGAGAAGGATATCATGCTTGGTAAAGTGGAGGATCAATGAAAAAGAGGAAGACTCTGAATGAGATGGATTTGATGCAGTGGCTGCAGTGGTGGGCTCAGTCATAGCAAGGATTGTGATAATGGCACAGGACCAGGCAGTGTTTTGTTCTCTTGTGCATAGGATCACTATGAGTTGGAGCTGACTGGATGGCAGATAACAAGAAGAAGAATGGGAGGGAGAGGGAGGGAAAATTGCTTAGTTAAGAGACATGTGTGATTTGGGTGAAGGGAAAGGCAATGTAACAAAAGTGTGTGACCAGCATAATATCACAAAGGAAAAGAAAGACAGAGAGAAGAGAGATACAGCCAACAAAGGCAAATACTATTACATACACAATACTGCATTATCAGTAATAACAAACACTAATCTACAGGTGGATACATAGGTAGATAGGCAAGAAGATCAGGTATGGGTAGGCAAAAGGGAATAGATCCATGACCATATATAGGTTTGGCAGATGATATTCCTACATATGTATTTGTATATGCTGTAAAAATGTCCATATGCATTACAGAGCTAATGGGACAGAGTTAGGATAACTTCTTAGCCACAACTAAACACCTTGAGGGATTGATTGAGTCACTGTGCTTGTAGGCTCAGGACCATGGTCACAGGGGCATCACGCTCAGTTGCCACAACATAGTACACAAAAACATTGTTCTACATCCTACCATGGTGAGTAGTTACTGAGGTCTTAAAAGCTTACTAGCAGCCATCTAAGATGTAGCTATTGGCCTCTCCTCTTCCAGAGCAAAGAAGAATGAAGAAAATCAGACACAGGAAACAATTAGCCCAAAGGACTAATGGACCATGAGAACCTCAGCCTGCATGACCTTGAGACCAGAAGAACTAGATGGTGCCTGGCAATCAATGCCAGTCATTCAGACATTGATCAAAATTAGAGATCCTAGATCCTAGAAGGAGCTCTGGTAGCATAGTGCCTAAGGCATTTGACTGCTCACCAGAAGGCTGGCGGTTCAA